ATTAAATTAAATTATATTTAATTATATTAATTTTGTTTATTTTTTATTTATTTAGTATTTAAGATTTGCTTTTTTAGTCACCTAGAAACCTCAAATATTTATTTTCACTTTACACTTAATTCCAGGACATTTCAAAATCAGTTTATTTCCAGGTGTAAATTTTCAGTGTGGTCATTAATACTCGTCTGTATGTATTAATTTAATTAAAGGTAATCAGGCCCATCAATGACTGATTCACATCTGCTTTCTGAAATGAGGTTTCCTTGATTTTATGCTTGTTTTCAGCAGTACACACATTGTGTATGGTAACAGCTAAGCCTATGGGACGCCTATCTATAAAAGTTCATCGGGGCTCATCGGTCGGGGAGTGAGGTGAGGTGAGGTGAGTGTTTTTGTTTTTTCTGTTCTGCTCTTTTAAGCTTGAATGACTCAGCATGCATATCCTGCTGAGACTACGCACTTGCAAATCAAAGACACAGTGACAGCTAAATGAACGGTTGCCATAAATCAGAGATGAAACTCTTGCATAAACTGCCATCCACCATGGGGAACAGAATAAAAGTACAGGTTAGAACATTCACCTTGATGTGCACTTTCAATCACAACATGAGTTAGAACAGGAGGGCTGTGCAAGTGTATTGTGTATATACAATTGTGGGTTCCTTAGGAAGTAAAGCTGAAGAGTAAGAAAGCTGGTTTAAAATTTAAGAGTGCAAAGGAAAACATATTGGTTGCAGCTTTTTTGAACGTTATTCTTCTACTCATATTAAAGCTAAACTCATTAACAGCAACTAGCTTAAAGTGTCATGAACCCCACTTCAGATGATTGCTTACTAAAGGTGTTTACTGAAGATTATGAGATGCACTAAATATGCATGCCGTGTATGAAGTCTGTAAAACTGAGAAAACATTTCCATGGACAGGACATAGACAAATGGACCTGCATTTTGTTGAAATGTGAAAATGAAATCTAAATTAAAAGAAAAAAAAAGTTTACAGTTAATGTTAGTATAATTTAGTTTTATAATGCAATGACAAGGACAATCTTGTCTTATCAGATTTCTGAGCAAAACATACTTTGACATAGTCACATACTCCTTTAAAATGGAAAAAAAGGTCAAATGACAATTTTACTGAAGGTTGTAACAGCTTTCATATCATAAGACACTTTTTATTCTTGCCAACAGATGTGGTAGATGCTGTAGATAATGAGCATTCAAACTACAGGCATCCATGGTACATAAATGAAAGTGTTTAAATGTTAAAACGTATGAAATTATTTGACAGATGAAATTAGGCCTAGTTGCATTTAATTCCTTTGTATTAATAAATAATGAGATAAAACAAAACAAAAATGTTAAAGCATTTTTGTAAATATGACAATTTTATGAACAAAACAATTTAGATTTATATATAAAATTATACCAACTAAATACATAAAGGTAAAAATCAATTTTACTAATACAACTAGATTCAACGTAAATAATCACATCTCTTCGGCTGTCAAAATGGACATGGGTGTCGTCGATAAAAAAGGTGCTGTAAGCTGTTCAGGAAACCACTAGTAACTGATGACATAAGCTCAGCCTTCAGTGCTGTGTCTTTATGAGTCTTGTTCAAAACTAATGAATATTTCCTTTCTTTTTAACCCCCGTCTCAGCATCTGGTATGAGACTGAAACACACACGTTGAGATACTGAGTTTGCTTACATTTCTGTGCGACTAAACAGCGCCACTGCCTGTAAGCATTTCACGATCTCTGTGTATTTGAGGTTTATGAATTCAGAATAAGGAAATTAGTAGCTCTCCTGTCCTGTATTGCCTGTTTTATACTTTTATTATTAATTGCGAAATTTGAAGACAAAAATAATGAGAATTCATACAACTGTCATATACTCAAAATAAAATAAAGTAACTAAGTGGGAGATTAGGCCGGGTATTTGTGAACTTTAATGTATAAAATGTATCATACAAAACTGAGAAGTTGACAATATGAATTGATATATGAGATGTGTTTTTACTAATGATATAGTTTAGATTTGGTAATTTAATTTTGCAGATCCTCAAATCAGAATGAGGTCGGTGTTTGATCACGTGATAGCATTATTCATTAGGCTCGTTTGAGATGAGCAAAATCTGCGCAGAACTGATCACCGGTGAGATGCATGCTGGTTAGAAAAGTGTCCGAGTTACGTCCGACTTGCCCTGATGTCATGCTGACGTGTGCCAAAAAAAGAGAGCAGTTGCTCTCCACCGACTGCGTTTATAAAAAAGCATGATGGGAAACGACTGGCTGACGACACAGCTTAATGCTCATTGGTTCAGACAAAATTGATGCTGCATTCTCTTCTAAAATTTTTTTTTAATTTTTAAATTTTTTTTTAATCTGATTTCATGTGATTATGTGTTTAAGTTATGCATGCATATTCCCAAACACTATAACAGTGTGATCTCTGTGTTAGATATGTGATTGTTGTCATATTTCTATAAAAATCTAAAATACATGTTTGTACACTCTAAAAAATGCTGGGTTATTTCAACCCAACTTTGGGTCAAATTTGGACTAACCCAAATTTTGGGTTAAAATTTTAATGTAAAACTGTAACCCAGCGGTTAGACTAGAAAGCTTGCAAAGAGTGCTCATAACCAGTAAAAAGCTGTCACTCTTTGTTTAGTGAGCGTATACACGATGTATTATAACATGCATCGTGCCGCAAAATGTATAAGAATATACATTACATTTCAAAAGTCGCGTTCTCCATGGCGTCCTACGTTTTTGACCTTTTTGAGTTTTGTGAAGAATGTTATTTTCCTTGAAAATATATTGGATGATTATCATCAACTTATACATGTTAAAGTAATATTTTAGTTTTCTACAATTTAGCTGAATCCACACTGTTCATCCCCATTTTCTGTTTTACAGAGTATCCAAGATTCATCAGATTTTTTTCAGAACACGTTGTATAATAACTGTTCTGCATAATAATAATAATAATAATATATGTTCAGGCTCAGCCTCGCTCTACATCTGGCATGCAGGTGTGTGAACTGTTTGACGTGAGGCGCAGGAGATTAACATGTAATTCCAGCCTGACTCACTGCGCGCCGCTGTTCTGCTCCATCTGCTCTCTTCTCCTCTATTCAAAAGTGGAACAGCAAGGATATATGGCCAGTAGTGAAATATAGATTATGTATTTTAACAACATAATGCAAAATAGGGTGACACGGCCGGCCCTGTGAGTTAAGACAGCACTAAACCTAAAATAATAACTTCAACAAATGTGCCCTGTCTATTCGATTCACTCTCGGAGTGGAAATCGTTTCTGATTTTCCCCAGCACCTGACTTGGAGTTGGAGAGAGAATAAGGTATCGTTATTGATATTTTGGTCGAGTTTTGTATTCTCATCAATGTTATTAATATGGAATTAACTTCTAAAGATATTAATCCCCAAGACAGTTAATTTCACTTCAATCATAAAATGGCATTTCTATTTGAGTGGCGCGTGTCGCTGTCCATGGTCCTGCACAGTGAATCATTATTATATTTTATTATAATGCAGCTCTATTTGTGCTCTTGAGCATTACGGTCGTTTTGTGAAGTCATTAAGTGAAAGTAATTTTCTTCATCCTGTCAAAGATGTTGATATTTCTTTCATTTAACTCGCACATTGCCGCTGTTCAGTAGTAAAACGTTATACACTACCGGTCAAAAGTTTGAGATCCTAACGATTGTTAATGTTTTTTACAGGAGTTTCTTATGCTCATCAAGGCTGCATTTATATGCATTTAATGCACATTTACTTTTACAGATGAGCTGTGATATGAAATCAAATGATTTTGTGCTTCTTCTAAAGAGATTAAATTGTTTGAAGTTTCAGCCATTCCCAGCGCACATCTCCCTCCAAGTTATGCATTAATCTGTGTTGTGGATGATCCTGGATGGACTGATGAGAAAAGGAGTGATTCGTTCCAGTAAGGTTAATTATATTTGTATTTATTTATTTACTTTTAACATATTAAGTGCAATGGTGTAAATTTGAAAATGTGCATTTTTCTGTAAGAAAATGCATTAATTGCTTTTGTTTTTGTACAGAAAACGGCCTAGAATACTTTCTTGTTTTTTCAGTGCTGTCTTGTAGAAATGTATGAATATTTTGGGTATGTATGTTAATTCTGTACACTCTTAAAAAAATAAAGGTTCTTTATTGCCATCAATGGTTCTATGAAGAACCTTTCCAATGCAGAAAAGGTCCTTGATAGTCAAAAAAAGGTTCTTTAGATTTTTAAAATGTACTTCAAAATAGTTCTTTTAGGAACTGTTCACTGAAAGGTTTTCTAGGGAACCAAAAATGTTTCTTCTATGCCATAGAATCTATGGCATCACTGAAAAAAACAACCTTTTGGAACCTTTATTTTTAAGAGTGTACATTGCTAACTACTTTAGGTACTTGAAAAGTTGCGCGTCCAAATCCAGTTAAAGGCCCTGTCTCGTCTCACCTTAAGTCTATAGCAAAATGTATGCGCATTTAACAGTTTTAATAGGTGGAAGTTTTGTATTCCTGTCCTCGATGTTGTTATATTGAATACGTTTAAGATTTTAAATACTCACGTTAGTAGCTTTCACTTAAGCACAAGACTTCAAAAATTAAAAATTAATGAATTTTAATAGAAAGCCTGTCTCTGGACAGTTGAGGTTTTGCTTTTTAATTACCTAGCACTATAAATAGCCGTTTTGTTGTTTTTATATCTATATCATAGAATCCAGAGTTTTCCTCCACTGTATATCTTTAAAGTTGTGAATGTTATGCAGTTTCTCAGTTTAACTCGCAGTGTCGCTGTTCACCAGTAAAATCATTTTATTTCATTTTGTATTTCATACTCCACCCTGTTCCTGATGTCATGTTTAGGGCTTCTAGCTCACATCGTAGCAAAAACGTAGACGTATCTCCAATCTTTTTTTACCATCTAGTTTTCTAAATACAGTTCAGACAAATGTTTTCGTTTACATGTTGATTGTATAACAAGTATTTTTCGTTGTCTTTTTTTTTTTTCTCCCCGATATGGATTTTAGAGGCATCAGTGTTGCTGGTGAGATGTTTGGCCTTTTGTTCTTCGTGATGATGGCGCACACCGCTTATGGAGACGTGAGCTATTCTTTTCCGGAGGAGATGAAACCCGGATCTGTGATTGGAAATATAGCAAAGGATCTCGGGCTCGATGTGAACAGACTGTCATCTCGAAAAGCTCGGATTGATACTGAAGGTAACAGAAAACGATACTGTAACATTAATATGAATACTGGAGAACTGGTCGTAGCGGAGAGAATCGACAGAGAGGGACTATGCAATGAAAGAATTGTCTGTGCTCTCAATTTCGAATTGGTTCTAGAACACCCATTGGCGATGCATCGTGTGACAATACAAATACAAGATATTAATGACAACACACCAGCATTTCCTAAAGATGTAATAAAGCTTGAGATAAGTGAGAATGCTGTGAAAGGCGCTCGGTTCCGCGTGAATGAGGCTCATGATGCAGACATAGGAAAGAATGGAGTACAAAGCTATTCCATTGAAAAGAATGACCATTTTCTTTTATCTGTAAGTACAAAGGCGGATGGTGGCAAAAATATTGAGTTAGTGTTAGAGAGAGAGTTGGACCGTGAGCAACAAAAACAACTGACATTAATTCTCACTGCGGTAGACGGCGGGACTCCACCGAGATCAGGTACTGTAGCCATACACGTCACTGTGCTGGATGCTAATGATAATGCTCCAGTCTTTAGTCAGGCCGTCTATAAAGTCAGTCTGCCTGAAAATTCTCCTCTAGATACTTTAGTGGTGACAGTGAGCGCTACTGATGCTGACGAGGGACAAAACGGAGAAGTGACATATGAATTTAGTCGTATTTCCGAAACTGCGAAAGAATTATTTAATCTGAATGAGAACAGTGGAGAGATTAAAGTTAAAGGCCCCATTGATTTTGAGGAGGACGTAAAATATGAGATGCTTATTGAGGGAAAGGATGGCTTTGGTCTTTCTTCAGACACTAAAGTAATTGTAGAAATTACAGATGTTAATGACAATGCCCCCATTATAGTGATTAAGTCTTTAAATAGCCCCGTTCCTGAGAATGCGTTACCCGGTACAGAGGTTGGCATCATTAATGTGCAGGACAGAGACTCTGAGAATAACGGACAGGTGCGCTGCTCCATTCAGCAAAACGTCCCGTTTAAACTTGTACCTTCAATCAAAAATTACTATTCTCTGGTGACCACAGGTGAATTAGACCGCGAGCTGCTCTCTGATTATAATATTACAATTACTGCTACTGATGAGGGCTCTCCGCCTTTATCTTCCACTAAGAATATTCACCTGACTGTAGCTGACGTGAATGATAATCCACCTGTATTTCAGGAGCAGAGTTACAGAGCTCATGTGCAAGAAAATAACAAACCGGGCTTCTCTATTTGTTCAGTATCAGCTACAGACCCGGACTGGAGACAGGATGGCACTGTAGTTTATTCTCTGTTGTCCTCTGATGTCAATGGCGCACCGGTGTCCTCCTTTCTATCCATTAACGGAGACACCGGGGTCATTCATGCCGTGAGGTCGTTTGATTACGAACAGCTGAAAAGTTTCAAAGTGCTCGTGTTAGCCAGAGACAACGGTTCTCCTCCTCTGAGCAGTAACGTGACCGTGAGTGTCTTCATAACGGATGAGAACGACAACTCCCCTCAGATATTATACCCCTCTCCGGAAGGAAACTCCTTCATGACCGAGATGGTACCCAAAGCTGCGCAGGCGCGCTCCCTGGTCTCCAAGGTGATCGCCGTGGACGCGGATTCTGGCCAGAACGCGTGGCTCTCGTATCACATTATTAAAGCGACTGATCCGGGACTTTTCACTATCGGTGTCCACAGCGGAGAGATCAGGACGCAGCGGGACATTTCTGAATCTGACAACATGAAACAGAACCTCATTGTGTCCGTGAGAGATAACGGACAGCCCTCTCTCTCAGCCACGTGCGCATTATATTTACTTATATCAGATAACTTGGCTGAAGTTCCAGAACTGAAAGACATGTCTCGCGACGAGAGCAGCTCCAAACTGACGTTTTATTTGATCATCGCGCTGGTGTCCGTTTCCACTTTCTTCCTGACCTTCATCATCATCATCCTGGCCGTGAGGTTTTGTCGCAGGAGAAAGCCCAGACTGTTGTTTGATGGAGCTGTAGCCATTCCCAGCGCGTATCTTCCTCCAAATTACGCAGAGGTGGAGGGCGCGGGAACTCTCCGCAGCACTTACAATTATGACGCATACCTGACCACGGGCTCGCGCACTAGTGACTTCAAGTTCGTCAGATCTTATAATGAGGGCACGCTGTCTGCTGACCTGACTCTGAACAAGACTCAGTCCGCTGTGGATGATCTTGAAGGGCTTGATGCGGAAATGCTCGATTCGTTTCAGGTAGGAATTAGTCTTTCTTAAATATATATTTTTTTAATTTATTTTATTTAGAACTTATTGATTTAAAGCGTATCTGTGTTTTATGTTGACACGTTGACAATTTTGAAGGACAGTTTGAAATCGGAAAAGAAACTGCATTAAGTGCACTTTTTCTGGTATGTATGAGGAGTCATGAGGCTTGTTTCACTTGTTTCATTATTTGTTTATTGCTAATATTGTGAATTTTAATTGTGTTTGGCATCTTAGGGGTCAAATAAATCTGTGCCTCTTGTAAAGCTTATTTTACCGTCTTGTCTAATACCCGGTTGTGTCCACATAGATTGTGCTGTTTGTAATGGGACTTGTCCTAAAACGTTGGTATTTTAAGGAGTTTTGTGTTTCTCTCTTCGATGTTTCCTTAATGTGAAATAAGCTTTTTAAGGGAATTCAGTTGTAATGTTGGTAATATTCTGTTCAGCAAATTATTTTAATCGCCATCTTAGTCGAACTGGAAAGGTCATTTGTTCACACACACACTTGCATTTGTGGTTTACGGGGACTCTCCATAGGCATAACGTTTTTTTACTGTACAAACTATTTTCTATCGCTCTACACCTTAACCTACCCCTCACAAAATACTACTGGCTATTTTTGAATGTCATAAAACACCGTTTTGTATGGTTTTTAAGCCTTTTGTTTTACGGGGACACAGGAAGTGTCCTCATAAACCTTGTTTACGTTGTAGTACCCATGTCATTATACACATTTGTGTCCTCATAAACCATATATACCAGTACACACACACACACACACACACACACACGTTTGTTTCTGTGAATTGTGGGGACTTTCCATGGGCTTCTGTTACTTTTATGCTGACCAAACTATATTTTCTGGCCCCGAACCCTAAACATACCCCTTACAGAAAACCTATTTGCATTGTTACACTTTCAGATAAACATCATTTACTACACTGAAAAAAATACTAAATGTTTTTAAGGTAAGTGGTTGCAAACTATTTATTTTAGCTACATTTAATCATAAAAAAAATAAGTAATAAAAAAAATAAATACACACACACACACACACACACACACACACACACACACACACACACGCACACACACCAGTTTGTTGTTTCTCACTTAATCCTTTAGGAAATATCAATGTTATGCAGTTTCCTATTTCAACTCGTTGTGTCGCTGTTCACCTGCAAAAGCATGTGTGTCTTTAGTACACATCTCTCCACCCTGCTTGTGATGTCATTCACATGACTTCAAGCTGGTTTTGTGATAAAGAATCCTCGACGTTGACTGACTGCTTATACCTTACTTCGTTCAATTTTTCTGTGTTTAGATTTAAGCGTATGTTTGCTTTACATGTGTATTGTTATATTTCTGGATTTAATGTCTGCTTAACATCTGAAGCATTACAAAGGTTCTGTGTGACTGCTGAGATGTTTGGTCTTTTGTTCTTCGTGCTGGTTGCGCACACCGCTTATGGAGACGTGAGCTATTCTTTTCCGGAGGAGATAAAACGCGGATCTGTGATTGGAAATATAGCAAAGGATCTCGGGCTCGATGTAAAAAGAATGCTCACTGGGAAGGCTCGCTTTGATACTGAAGGTAACAGAAAACGATACTGCGACATTAATCTAAATACTGGAGAACTGACCGTAGCGGAGAGAATCGACAGAGAAGAGATTTGTGAAAAGAAATCTTCATGTGTCATAAACCAGGAGCTTGTGTTAGAAAATCCGTTAGGTTTGCATCGCGTCATTTTCAATATTGAGGACATAAACGATAATTCACCACAGTTTAAGCAAAGTGTTATCAAATTTGAAATACAGGAATCGGCACTTAAAGGTTCTCGTTACTTATTAGATGAGGCTCATGATGCAGATATTAGTATGAATGCAGTGCAGTCATACATGTTGCGAGAAAACGAACACTTTCTTCTTAGTGTACTTACGCGTACAAATGGAAGAACATATGGAGAGCTAATTCTTAATAAAGAATTGGATCGTGAGCAGCAGAAAGAGGTAACATTAATTCTCACTGCGGTAGACGGCGGGACTCCACCGAGATCAGGTACTGTAGCCATACACGTCATTGTGCTGGATGCTAATGATAATGCTCCAGTCTTTAGTCAGGCCGTCTATAAAGTCAGTCTGCCTGAAAATTCTCCTCTAGATACTGTAGTGGTGACAGTGAGTGCTACTGATGCTGACGAGGGACAAAATGGAGAAGTGACTTATGAATTTGGCCATTTATCCGAACGGCTTTTGGAAATATTTTCTCTTAATTCCTTATCTGGAGAGATTAAACTAGCAGGGCTGATTGATTATGAGGATGTGAGTTCAATTGAACTGCCAATTCAAGCCAAAGATGGTCAAGGGCTAGCCAATCATTGTTCTGTATTAATAGATGTTATTGATGTCAATGATAACGCCCCTATAGTAATACTTAAATATGTGAACATTCCTATTCCCGAGAATGCGTTACCCGGTACAGAGGTTGGCATCATTAACGTGCAGGACAGAGACTCTGATAATAACGGACAGGTGCGCTGCTCTATTCAGCAAAACGTCCCATTTAAACTCGTACCTTCAATCAAAAATTACTATTCTCTGGTGACCACAGGTGAATTAGACCGCGAGCTGCTCTCTGATTATAATATTACAATTACTGCTACTGATGAGGGCTCTCCGCCTTTATCTTCCACTAAGAATATTCACCTGACTGTAGCTGACGTGAATGATAATCCACCTGTATTTCAGGAGCAGAGTTACAGAGCTCATGTGCAAGAAAATAACAAACCGGGCTCCTCTATTTGTTCAGTATCAGCTACAGACCCGGACTGGAGACAGAATGGCACTGTAGTTTATTCTCTGTTGTCCTCTGATCTCAATGGCGCACCGGTGTCCTCCTTCCTATCCATTAACGGAGACACCGGGGTCATTCATGCCGTGAGGTCGTTTGATTACGAACAGTTGAAAAGTTTCAAAGTGCTCGTGTTAGCCAGAGACAACGGTTCTCCTCCTCTGAGCAGTAACGTGACCGTGAGTGTCTTCATAACGGATGAGAATGACAACTCCCCTCAGATATTATACCCCTCTCCGGAAGGAAACTCCTTCATGACCGAGATGGTACCCAAAACTGCGCAGGCACGCTCCCTGGTCTCCAAGGTGATCTGACTTCAAGTTCGTCAGATCTTATAATGAGGGCACGCTGACTGCTGACCTGACTCTGAACAAGACTCAGTCCGCTGTGGATGATCTTGAAGGGTTTGATGCGGAAATGCTCGATTCGTTTCAGGTAAGCCTTTGATAATTTCCTTAAAAATAATTGGGTGGATTTAATTTGTTTAAATGTAATATTTGCGGTTTCAACTGACTGCTTTCTTTAGCAAAGGTTTTTTTCTTTTTTTCTTAGCGGTTCACGTGGCTCTTTCAAATGCTTGATTGTAGACACATGAACAGGGTCAGTTTGGAGTTAGAAAATATTGATGGTATAAGCGACTTTTTTTTTTTTTACACTATCTGGTCATGTATGCGGTAGTTATTTTTTGTCACTCTTTTGGACTTATTTTGAAGTCGAGCTGTAAAAGTAGTTTGTTAGTGATCTTTTAAAGATTTCAAGGACATCCGTCTCATTCTGTTGACGAATGCTTTCGTTAAAACTTGTCATCAGTATATGTGTCCTTCTAGAGTCTGACATTTGTAATTGTCTGTGATAAAATATTGCTATTTAAATAGTTTGACTTTTGTCTTTGTCATTTTTCTATGCAGTTAGTTTAGAATGAGAATTAAGTTCATATGTTAGTAACGTTCCCTTGAGAGAAATCTTTTAAACGTACTTTTAATCTGATTGGAAATGGCGTAGGACAGGTTTCCCGTGTTGCTGTACATGGTGCTGCACTGCTGTTTACTACTGGTTTTCGGTATTTTGTGTGTATAGCTCTCTATCCCTCTATATTTGTTTGTTTATTTAATTTTTAATAACATGCATAGTGTGGCCTTCTTTATATCTCGCACTTAAATGAATAGTTAACCAAAAAAAAAAAAATTTTGTCATCATTTACTCACACTCATGTCGTTCCAAACCTGTATGATTTTCTTTCTTATATAGAACATGATAGAAGATATTTTTAAGAATGCTGGTAATCAAACAGTTGATGGACCCCATTGACTAACGTAATATTTATTTCCCTACTATGCAAGTCAATGAGGATCAACAACTGTTTGGCTCTTCAAAATTCTTTAAAATATCTTCACTTGTGTTCAATATAAGAAAGAAACTTATACAGGTTTGGAACGACATGAGGGTGAGTAAATGACAACATTTTCATTATTGGGGGAATTAATCCTTTAAGAGGATGTTGCTGCTGGCTTACACAGTTGCATAACAATAAAATGATTTGCTAAGTATACAACACGCGTTCTTTGTGTGTAATAACATTCAATTCTGTCTGATAAGAATGTCCTGCAGTTTCTTATTTTAACTCATAGTGTCGCTGTTCACCTGCAAAACAATGTGTCTTCAATACACATTTCTCCGCCCCGTTTATGATGTCATGCACAGGGCTTCAAGCTCCTCTCGTTGTAGAAAATCGTCGACAGTGACTGATCGTCTAATAGTGTACTCCTTTCGATTTTTCTCAATTTAATTTTACATTTGTCGTTTTGTTGTTGGATGTAATTTCTGCTTAATATCTGAAGAATTCCAAAGGTTCCGCGTTGCTTGCGAGATGTTTGATCTTTTGTTCTTCGTGCTGATGGCGCACACCGCTTATGGAGACGTGAGCTATTCTTTTCCGGAGGAGATGAAACGCGGATTTGTGATTGGAAATATAGCAAAGGATCTCGGACTCGATGTGAACAGACTGTCATCTCGTAAGGCTCGAATTGATACTGAAGGTAACAGAAAACAATACTGTGACATTAATTTGAATACTGGAGAACTGATCGTAGCGGAGAGAATCGATAGAGAGGGACTTTGTGGAAAGAAAGCTTCATGTGTCATAAACCATGAGCTTGTCCTTGAAAGCCCTCTAGAACTGCATCGCTTCATTCTAAATATTGAAGACATAAATGATAATTCACCACAGTTCACAGAGAGTGTCGTTAAATTCGAAATACGAGAATCAGCAGACAAAGGGTCTCGCTACTTATTAGATGAGGCCCATGATGCCGATATTGCTCGGAATTCTGTGCAATCATATACACTTCAAGATAATGAACACTTTATTCTTAATGTACTAACCAGGGAAAATGGAAGAAAATATGGCGAGCTCGTGCTGAATAAAGAGTTAGATCGTGAGCTGCAGAAAGAGGTAACATTAATTCTCACTGCGGTAGACGGCGGGACTCCACCGAGATCAGGTACTGTAGCCATACACGTCACTGTGCTGGATGCTAATGATAATGCTCCAGTCTTTAGTCAGGCCGTCTATAAAGTCAGTCTGCCTGAAAATTCTCCTCTAGATACTGTAGTGGTGACAGTGAGCGCTACTGATGCTGACGAGGGACAAAATGGAGAAGTGACATATGCATTTAGTCATTTATCCGAAATTGTCCGGCAATTGTTTTTCCTTGATACAGTGTCAGGAGAGATTAAACTAAAGGGACTCGTAGATTTTGAGGAGGAGAGTTCAGTCGAACTACCGATTCAAGCTAAAGATGGTCAAGGGCTAGCTAGTCATTGTACAGTAATATTATATGTTACTGATATCAATGATAACCCCCCTGTAATAGTGATTAATTCCCTTAACAGTCCTATTCCCGAGAATGCGTTACCCGGTACAGAGGTTGGCATCATTAACGTGCAGGACAGAGACTCTGATAATAACGGACAGGTGCGCTGCTCTATTCAGCAAAACGTCCCATTTAAACTCGTACCTTCAATCAAAAATTACTATTCTCTGGTGACCACAGGTGAATTAGACCGCGAGCTGCTCTCTGATTATAATATTACAATTACTGCTACTGATGAGGGCTCTCCGCCTTTATCTTCCACTAAGAATATTCACCTGACTGTAGCTGACGTGAATGATAATCCACCTGTATTTCAGGAGCAGAGTTACAGAGCTCATGTGCAAGAAAATAACAAACCGGGCTCCTCTATTTGTTCAGTATCAGCTACAGACCCGGACTGGAGACAGAATGGCACTGTAGTTTATTCTCTGTTGTCCTCTGATGTAAATGGCGCACCGGTGTCCTCCTGCGCTGCTCCATTCAGCAAAACGTCCCATTTAAACTCGTACCTTCAGTCAAGAAATATTATTCTCTGGTGACCACAGGTGAATTAGACCGCGAGCTGCTCTCTGATTATAATATTACAATTACTGCTACTGATGAGGGCTCTCCGCCTTTATCTTCCACTAAGAATATTCACCTGACTGTAGCTGACGTGAATGATAATCCACCTGTATTTCAGGAGCAGAGTTACAGAGCTCATGTGCAAGAAAATAACAAACCGGGCTCCTCTATTTGTTCAGTATCAGCTACAGACCCGGACTGGAGACAGAATGGCACTGTAGTTTATTCTCTGTTGTCCTCTGATCTCAATGGCGCACCGGTGTCCTCCTTCCTATCCATTAACGGAGACACCGGGGTCATTCATGCCGTGAGGTCGTTTGATTACGAACAGCTGAAAAGTTTCAAAGTGCTCGTTTTAGCCAGAGACAACGGGTCTCCTCCTCAGAGCAGTAACGTGACCGCGAGTGTGTTCATAACGGATGAGAATGACAACTCACCTCAGATATTATACCCCTCTCCGGAAGGAAACTCCTTCATGACCTTTTGCTGTAGTGTGTGAGTAGGAAATATCAGTTTACATTTCCAAACTTTCATTTAGCCATTAATTGTAATAATCCAGTGAGATTTTTGTCTGACAACAGCCAGTGCTCCACACAGAGATCTGATCTCATCATCATCCAGTCTGTCTGAAATGACACGAAGAAACAGAACAAACTAAGGCAGACTAAATCCAGAAGAACTGTGGCAACGTCTCCAAGATGCTTAAAGAGACCTACCTGCAAAGCTACATTACTGTTAAAAATGTAGGCACTTGTGTACAAATTCTGTATAATAAGGATGCTGTCAAAAATAATGCCATAAATAGATTTTCTTTATCAATTAGCTTCTATTAACTAAATTAAATCAACATTTGGTGTGAGCATCCTTTGCGCTTAAAGCAGCCTTTGCCCTTGGTGCACTTGCGCGTAGTTTTTCAGGTAGCTTTGCAGGTAGATTTCTTGAAGCATCTTGGAGATGTTGCCACAGTCCTTCTGGATTTAGTCTGCCTCAGTTTATTCTGTTTCTTCATGTCATTTCAGACAGACTGGATGAGGATGAGATCAGATCTCTGTGTGGAGCACTGGCTGTTGTCAGACTCCTTGTGCAAACAAAAATCTCACTGGATTATTACAATTAATAACAAAATTAATGCTTGGAAATGTAAACGGATATTTCCTACTGACACACTACAGCAAAAGATAGAAATAACTGACTTCAACCCATTTTTAATACTAGTAGTGTTCTAATAATTTTGGCCACCACTGTAAATTCAGATGATTTTTTTCATAAGGTTCTGGCATTCACTGAATCTTGTGTTTTTCAATTTTCAGGATTTTTGAGTATTGTTTTTATATTTACATATTTTGTTAAAAATGACAGGACTTATATATTAACTCTCTGAGAGCAGAATGTTTTTTTTTTCATCAATAAAGTGAAGTTTCCTTTTCAGTTGAAATATGACCAGACTTTTATTTGGTCAGTGATATGTAAGCTTGCATATCTTATTGTCACCCATTCTTTCAAATGTCTTTATTTTTGCAAATCATTAATGTATTCAGCTTTTTAGGTGGCTGGCATTTAACATTTTGTCTGATTAGAATCTAATAGTAGCATCTTTTTTTCTGTTCGTGGGTTTGAATTTGACGGGGTTTTTTTTGTGAAATTGATCTTTTTCTGCTGTTTCTGTTGAGCACTGTATACATCTACACTTCGACAACTACGGTTTCAATGTTTATTTATTTATTATTTGTTTGTCACGTTTATTGGACTCTTTTTCTTGAGCCTTAAATCTGATTACACTTTACTGATTTCCTGTGCACTTATGTTGAGATCATAAATTGCAGTTTTCACATTTTAACGCCTAGTGTCGCTGTTTACCTGCAGAGGTTTTGAGACATGATGTTATTTTATCTCCACCCTGTTTATGACGTCATTCCTTGTAAAGACGCATCAGCTTTAGTGAAATATTATTCGATTCTGGCTGCTGGACGGGCCTATTGTATCCGCTTCAGCGAGGTTTCTAGATTATCTCATTTTGCTTTCGTTTAATGCTCGGAAATATTCTGGTTTTGTTTAGTATTAGCCTGCATGGGAAATATGGATCGCAGATTCTTTCCGACGCATTGTCTGATTGTGGGCATTTCTCTGATTATAGTCATAACGCACGCCGCTTATGGAGATGTGAGCTATTCTTTTCCGGAGGAGATGAATCGCGGATCTGTGATTGGAAATATAGCAAAGGACCTCGGGCTCGATGTGAACAGACTTACATCTCGTAAAGCTCGCATTGATGCTGAAGGTAACAAAAACCGATTCTGCGACATTAATTTGAGAACGGGAGAAATGATAGTGGCCGATCGGATAGACAGAGAGGTGCTTTGTAAGGAGAGGCTTTCCTGTACGCTTAATTTCGAATTTGTGTTAGAAAACCCTTTGGAATTGCATCGTGTTGTTTTACAAATCCAAGACATTAATGACAATGCGCCAGTATTTCCCAAAGATGTAATCAAGCTCGAAATAAGTGAAAATGCCGATAAAGGTGCTCGTTTTCGTGTCATTGAGGCTCGAGATGCTGATGTCGGCCACAATTCAGTACAAAAATATATATTAGAAAAAAAAGTAAATTTTATTTTAGCGGTGAATTCAAAAACAGATGGAAGCAACTATGTCGAGTTAGTGCTTGATAAAGAGTTGGATCGTGAGGAGCAGACAGAGGTGACATTAATTCTCACTGCGGTAGACGGCGGGACTCCACCGAGATCAGGTACTGTAGCCATACACGTCACTGTGCTGGATGCTAATTATAATGCTCCAGTCTTTAGTCAGGCCGTCTATAAAGTCAGTCTGCCTGAAAATTCTCCTCTAGATACTTTAGTGGTAACAGTGAGTGCTACTGATGCTGACGAGGGACAAAATGGAGAAGTGACATATGAGTTTGGGCATTTATCTGAATCTGCTAAAGAAACATTTTCATTGGATCATCAAACTGGACAAATTGCCGTGAAGGGGCGAATAGATTTTGAAGATGAATCAAGGTATGAAATTATTGTTGAGGCTAAGGACGGATATGGTCTTTCCTCAGACTCAAAAATCGTGATAAAAATTACTGACATAAATGACAATGCTCCAATTCTTATAATTAAATCTCTTAACAGTCCTGTTCCTGAGAATGCGTTACCCGGTACAGAGGTTGGCGTCATTAATGTGCAGGACAGAGACTCTGAGAATAACGGACAGGTGCGCTGCTCCATTCAGCAAAACGTCCCGTTTAAACTCGTGCCTTCAATCAAGAAATATTATTATTTGGTGACCACAGGTGAATTAGACCGCGAGCTGCTCTCTGATTATAATATTACAATTACTGCTACTGATGAGGGCTCTCCGCCTTTATCTTCCACTAAGAATATTCACCTGACTGTAGCTGACGTGAATGATAATCCACCTGTATTTCAGGAGCAGAGTTACAGAGCTCATGTGCAAGAAAATAACAAACCGGGCTCCTCTATTTGTTCAGTATCAGCTACAGACCCGGACTGGAGACAGAATGGCACTGTAGTTTATTCTC